GTCGTTCAGGCCACGCAGCAGGGCGTTGACGAAGTAGGCGCCGGCATAGGCCATCGAGAGGGTGGCGGAGCCCTTGCCCGCCTTGGCCTTGACCACCTCGGTGCCGGCCTCCTGTATGCGCTGCGTCAGCTGCTTCACGTCCTCTTCCTCGCCGGTGAATTTGGGCATGCACTGGGAGAAGATCGGCAGTATGGTAATGCCCGAATGGCCGCCGATGACGGGCACTTCCACTGTCGCCGGATCTATGTTCATGTAGTCCGCAATGAAGGTTCTGGCACGCACCACGTCCAGCGTTGTGACCCCGAACAGGCGATTCGGATCAAAGACACCTTTGGCCTTGAGAAATTCCGCCGCAATGGGCACTAAGGTGTTGATCGGGTTCGTAATGAACGCTAGCAGCGCCTCGGGACAAGCGATGCCCACGGCAGAAGATACGGCCATTGCCACGCCGGAGTTGGCGTCCACCAGCTGATCCCGTGTCATGCCCGGCTTGCGGGGCAGCCCCGCTGGCACCACGACCACATGCGAATCGTGCAGCGAATCAATCAGCTCCTGCTCCTTGACACCGTCAAAAAAGTCAACCTGCGTCGAGGTGCAGATGTGCGAAAGGTCAGCTGCCACGCCCTTTATGTCGCAAACATCATGCAGCGTTAGTTCATCAATCAGCGGATTTTGCTTGAGCAGCATCGACAGCGGCTGTCCAATGCCGCCCCCCGCGCCCACCACCGTCACCTTGTAGTTGCGCGTGCCACGCCCATTCCAGTACCAATTGCCGTTCCTCTGGCCGACTGCGCAGCTGTTCTGAGCCTTGAGCATCAGCTTGAAGCACGAGCAGGCACATCCCAGCATCTTGTATCTATTTTTTTTGGCTATTAGAATTTACCTCTAACCAGCTAATTTTAGGATTATGGAACAATTTACAATTTTTTTTAGCTGAAAAATGAAAAGTGCTGCCAAATCTGTCAGTTGTAATTAAGTAAATTGCAACCAATGTAAAATCTGTCAACTAACTGAAATCAACTGCACTTTTAATACCCTGTAAATACCCTTTTAGCACCCTCCTGTTCTGCTAGATTTTGTCTATAGATATATGTGTATATATGTGTTTATAAACCAAGAGAAATATTTGTTAAAAAAATAGACTTTCAATAAAAAAAAAGGCCTTGGTGCAGGCTGGTTTTTAATTTTAAAGGAAAATTTAAACAATATTATAAGTTTTCATTTTCAAACATAGAATTTAATACCCTAAACTGTATGTAAATGGGTAAAAAGGGTATAATGATTTTTTCCCAATGTTTGTAACAGGCAGAAAGACGCATAAATGGCATGAGTACGAGCTGAGTCGAACTAGCCGAGTCCGTCTGTCCATCTGTGTGAACGCGTTAATCTCAGAAGCTTAAAAACTAGTGAAAGTTTCCATCCGAAATATTTATTATCCCTACGATAAACGTGCTTATCATTTCATATGATATGCTCCCATTATCACATATTCGATAATTATCAAAATAAAAACTAGATTTTTTAAGCAATACTCGTAAGTTATAAGAACCAGAGTTAAGGCTGTGTAGGCTATCGCATATGGTATACATATTAAAAATCTCTTCTTTTTGGATACCTCTTCCATTCTCACAAATTCAAAAAAAATCGTTTTGAAGGTAGAGCCACATTTATGCCCTGAAAGTTCTTAAAGATCGGACCATAAGCTCCGATGCTATACAGGAGTACATTTCTCCTACAAGCTGTGTGTGTAGGAGAAATATAGAATTACTGTAAAGGTTGAGTGATTTTTTTAGTGAACCTGAATAAAATTTATACTAATATGCACTATTAAAAGTTGATCTGTTATACTCATGTATAACATAAATTTATAATGTAAATCGTTAGAATATTGAAAGAGAGGGTATTTCGTAGTCGATCAACTGCTAGATTAAGGTAAATCAGAATTTTTGGTCATTCGCTTTAACTGTAATCGTGAGAGTCAACAGTCGTACCTTAATCGCAATATAGAAACGCGATCTATGGAACCGACCAATGCCCGATGTCGATGCACCCGATCGGAGCCGAGACCGCAGCCGAAGCACTGCGTCAAGGCGTCGTGGGTGCGATGTTTGGTGGTATAAAACGTTCGGCGCTGTCAATGGCAACTTCCAGTTGCGGCCGGCTCTGCCAACAATTCGCATAGCAATTAAATTAAAAAATTGAAAATAAATAAGAACAGATCAACAGTCAACGTCCTCCTGCACGTCTACTAATCACGCATTAGAGCATTAAGTATTAAAAAACGCCAACAGAATGGTTCAAGAAGTGAGTATATAACGAGCCAAAACGGTTGCTATCGACTGCGCGATACTCTACCGAGTGCTCACAGTGTAATTACAGCTGAAAGTCGGAAATTATATTCTTGCTGAGACTCTAAGACCCCAAGATTGTGAACTTTGAACATGTCGATTATTGCCGTGAGAGTGCTCAGAACAAAGAATCTTAAACTGTGGTAGATAGCGAAAAATCCGAAATTTGTATCAAGCTAGATTCGAAATATAAACAACCCATATACTCTTCTTGGCTTTTTAGTCCGCTCGTAGTAAAAGAAAAGTATGAAATTTCAAAAAATCTCTATAAAAATCAAAGATCGGTTCTACAAACTGAATAACATATATAAACTTTAATCAATTCGGTATATATACATAAAATAATAAATATATTTATTTAAACCCTAAATAATGTAAAAGGGAAATCACATCAGCGATTCCCAGACCCAAGTCTTAAATAATAATTTAAATGAAATTATTTTGGTTAGGAGCTGAGATCAGCTTAGGCATCTTTATGCATTAGACCTGTTTGCGCTGGTTTGATCTTATTGGAGTTGGGTGATATTAATTGTCGAACTAACTAGAACCAGAATGAAGCGCCTGACCCAGTGTATATTTCATTAATCGCAGCCCCAAATTCTAAATAGGGTCAATGGCAGCGTCATGCACAGAATTTCTAACCGTGTCACATGATCGGTTGTCGCGTTCAGCTGACTTTTTCCCTTGATTTTATTTGCCGGCTAATGGATAATCAAGTGGTTGCCTCTGATTTTCAGAAATTCGACAACAAGCGGCAGCTGCTGCTGCTGGCGCTGATGCTGATGCTGGTCGCGTGCCTCTCGATCTGCGTCCAGGGCCGACCGTCGCCGGACGCGGGCGTTGGGCCTGGAGCAGCGGTACAGCTGCTGGTGGACCCCAGCGAATATCCCGGCAATCTGCCGCCGGAGACCATTCTGAAGGTGCAGCAGTGCGAAAAGGACCAGACAACCATGGAGCTGTGCATGCGCTGCGCCAAGGTCACCAAATCGGAAATCATCTATCCCATGTGCTGCAACAACGACGACAGCGTCAAGGACTGGTGCCACGACTATGTGTATTATGGCAACGACGAGGGCTACTAGCTGCTAGCGAGGCTTTCCCCCAGATGAGGTCGTTGTCCCTTAGGCTACTTACTTTCTGAAATCTAATAAAATTCCTTGCATCCTGCAAACACTGCGGGTCTATTGGCTGTGATATTTAAGGCAATATTAATGTTTATGCTTACACAAACCTACCTGTAACTAGAAATAAATACACATTTGCGCTATGAGCTGCATAAGAACACGAAAATCAATCCGCTCCATTCTAATCATCAGCCGAAAAACGACAACAAACAATCTACTTGTTTAGAAGTTGTCGATAGGATGTCTATAGAAGGCCAAATTTCAACTTTAATCGAACTCTTCCTATTGTATCTTTATGATACATGGTACAACTCGAGATAATAATTGCTGAGCATGATATCTGATACCTAATTTGATTTGAATTTGAATTGATTACACATATAAGGAGCGAAGAAACTGCTGAGCTTCACGAAAATATCTCGGAAAACAGAAAATTGTGCCATACAAAAGCAATTCTTTCTCTTTATTTTCTTACACGAACCAGATCGTTACTATAGCACCTATATGATATATCGGCCCGATACGGCCCGTTTCGATATGCATACTGCCTGATAGATAAAAGAATATATATAGATAGAATATATATACTTTATGGGGTAGAAAAAGTCTCCTTCTGTACGTTACACATTTCATGACAGACTTATACTTCAAACGCACACAAATCATAAGATTTTTCATTAATTGTCACAGGTTTTGTCTCGTGCGCGCTCTCACGTGCTTTGACTTGAGTATATCCACAAACTCAAAATAAAGTACACTTGAGAAAAATTTGTTTTTTTAAATTTATTTTTGTAAACTTCTTTTGTGTTTAATATATTTTTCGAAAACTTTATAATAATTACACATGTAAGTATTCTTTAAATGAATATTCAATTCGAATTGAATCGGTTTTGAGTTGATTGAGTTGCCTTTTAAAATAATTGTAGAAAACGCATAAATAAAAACTATTATATATGTATATCGATTGGGCAAAACATATAGAAACCCGATTTAGCTTAACGACAACTACTATATTACAGTTCATGCTGTTGCGGATTTAATATGGCAATCAAATTTAGAGCTAGTTTAAAATGCACAATCCGTTCGAACGGCTTTTTAGACGGCCGGCCCGACTTGATCGAACTTGCACTAGTTTACAACACCACGTGATTTGTAACTGTACGATATAAATGTATATAACAAAAACAATGTTTCAACAAGAAACTATATACATATTTTTTAGTCACTCGATCGATCGATCTGGCGCTCGATCTCCTAGCTTCTTTGTTCATTTCAATCAAACAATTTTTCAGTCTTTTTGTTTGATACTTTTTGTTGTTGTTGTTGTTAGCTGTTGTTGTTGTTGTTGTTGTTGTTGTGGTTGTTGTTGTCTCTCGTTGACTGAAAGCAACATTTAAATATAAAGTCGCGTGAAGAGTTCAACTTACCAGAATTCAAGCACGCTATTTTAGAATGTTATTGGGTTATTTAGTTTTTATACAAAAATGTTGTCACTGCTTTAACGCGGTGACAACGACGGCAGAGCTAGCTGCACGGGTTAAATGCAGATAGGAACAGTCGGAGTCTTCGCAGCGACCCATCAGTTCAAAGGGACACACGGTGGCATTCACATTCAGCTGGCTGCAATTAGTACAACAGGCAAACAAATGCATTTGGATGGCGGCAACCACAAGGGATTCACACACCTGTTGTAGTTGCGAGACAACGGGGTGCGGTACTCGCCAAGCAGCGACTTCTTAACGGGTGGATTGCACAGCTCCCGCATAAAGCTGACGGTGTAGGGCGGCGCCTTTTGGACTTCAGTGGCATCCGGTGCTACATTCCGTGGCGTGATCTGCAAGTAAACTCAACCAGTTTGTTAGTACGGGTTAGCACAGTTAGCGGGTACAATCAGCGGTAGATGAGACATGTTCTTAGAATTAGTTGGAAGCTATAGGAGAATATCATAAATCCACGCACATCAAATTCCAGCTGTCTCTTTACAGTCACCGCCTCTTCTCCTGCAACTGCTACAGCTACTTCTGCTGCTGCTGCCATGGCTGCTGAGGTATTACATTCACTTGGCTGATCCTTTGGCTGCTGCTCCGTCTCCGTCTCCGGCTCAGTGCTCTGCCTCTCGTCAGCAGGCGGTTGGCTATTACTGTCGCTAGAGGAAATGGGCTGCTCGCTCGGATCCCGACTAGTTTCATGCTTAGGTTCAGGTACTGACTGTGGCTCTACGTCAGGCTTTGACTCGGACTGAGTTACTTCCTTATGTGCAGACACATCGGCCTGCACCAAAACATCCTCATATTTGAGTATCGAATTGTATAAACGTATCTCTTTGGTCAGCTCTGTGGACTTGCGCGATATTTCCGCCTTAGCCGGATCCAGCAACCTGCAAAAAACACAAGCTATAGTATAACTGCAATGTATGTGAATGCCGCGTCCATTTTGGCACATTCCGGCGCTCCCACGATAATTGTTGGCCCCTTTGCGTTGTGGTCCACAGCAACCTGCTAGCGCTGTTGCTGCTATAGTTGTTGTTGTTGTAGTACCTGTAGTCGGCGCCCTGAAGGCCATTGCCCAGATCCAGAGCAGCGTTTTGTAGCTTGTTGCGCTTCTGCTTGAGCGATATGATAATCTCATGGCTGGCCTGTATCTCAGACTGTATGCGCGCCAGCTTCGACTCCTCCAGCTTGACCGACTGCTTAACGGCCTGCATCTCGGCATAGAGGTCCTTCAATCGGTGCGAGTAACGCAGGCGTGCGATCTTTGACTTTTTCGCCTCCTCCACCATATGCAGCGACTTGTCTAGGTTGGCTATCATGCTGCCCCTGTCATGGAGCACAAAATATTAGAAATTTTACAGTGCCCCATATGCATATGCATAAATACCCGATTTTGAGAAATGAACTCTCGAATGCTTTCAGTCGACTCTCCTTCGATGGCTGCGTCGCCTTGGCTACCGCCTTTGACGTGCTCGGAAAATCGCTGGCAGTGGTTGTGTCCGTGGCAGTAGCAACTGGATCATTAGGAGCTACTGCTGGCTTTGTACCTTTGGGCCCTGCCCTGACTGTCACCTTCTTGAGCGCTTTGCTGCCTGCTGCGGTTGTTTTTGCCTTTGCTGCCAAAGCGGCACCAACGGAAATCTGTTGTTTGCCGACTGTGACTGCGACTGGAGCCTCTTTTGCAGCAGCTGTCGTTTGGATGTTGACCGCCTTCACTCCAACTCCGACTTTCTTTTTCTCCAGCAGCTGCATGCGCTCGATTAGACGCAGGTATTCCCTTTGTGATGCTACCGGCAAGTGTCGCACAGCCTAGCCAGATGTTAAAGTGTAATTAGTCTACCATAGAATTCTAATTTTTACTACTATTAGTGTTACGAATCGGTTATAACTGATAAAAGATCTACAGGTGCCAAATTTTGTATGTAGTCTCTCGGATAGTATAACAAAAAAATAAAAATTCTTTTAAAGTGGGGCCTCGCGATTGAGAATTCACCATAGTGTGCGGCTAAAGAAAGAAGAAGCACAACCTCTGCATAGGAAGAAAACTAGAATCTTTTCAACAATATCTAGGTGAAGGGTTCAGGGTATCTCCCAGTCGAGAGCGCTCTTCTTTTTCTTCCAAAAAAGATTCTAAAATATATGAATATGGGCCATAGATTTCTTTCCCCTATCAGCAAGTTATGTAACAAACATTTCTATCAATCTTTGTGGGACTATGGGGATATGTGACTTGAAAGTTAGAATCTAATCCGCGTTTAAATAGATGAGTTGCTCTCCAAGAGCGTTAAAGGAGTCAAGATCAAATAGAGGAGAACTCGATTACATACCACTGGCGTTGGCTTGGCCTTTTGCGGGATCACAGCAGATTTTTCAGCGGCCTTGGGCGGTTGATCGGAAGACTTTTCCGTCTTTGGCGTTGGTTTTGGGCTGTCCGCTGGTAAAGCTGTGGGCACCTTGGAGCGCGCCTGCTTCAGGAAATCGTCCAGTTTCTTCTCAAAATACTCATTTATGACAGTGCGTCGCAAATTGGGATTGCTGGTTGATGCCGATTCCAGGATCTCGGAGTTTGGCGTATTGGAGCGAGTCGTTGAGTTGCTGGCACTGTCCATTGCCTGGCTGAACGGACTCGCGTTGTCGGCATAACTTGCATAGCTGCTGTAGGCGTAACAGCTTCTCAGCTCCAGCTCATCGTCGCTGCCCGCCGAGGACTCGGCCAGGGCGATGACTAGCTTGTTCACTTTGATGCTAGACGGATCGAGTGTGGTTATCAGTCTTGTTGAGCTGCTGCCGTTCTGGCTGTGAAGCGGGGCCACTGACTCCTTGACCAGAAGCGTTGCTGGACGCTTTGCAGCCGTCGCTAGTTCCGCCAGCTTCGAAATCTTGCGCTTGGGCGCCGTCTTCTTGTTGATTACCTTGTTGGGCTTCACGATTTTGATGATGTTCGTCGAGGTCGATGCGATTGCGGGTGTCGGCGCAGCTGAAACTTCCACTGGTAGTTGTGGCGGAGGGGCAGGCACAGGCAAAGGCACGAGCACGGGCAAGGGTACGGGCAAGGGCACGGGCACCGTCACAGGCAAGGGCAAAGGCACAGGCACAGGTACAGGTTCCGGCTTAGACAGAGGCTCAGATAGGGGCAGAGGCAACGCCGCATGCTGCAGTTTGACTTCTGTTTGTTGAGCTGGCTCCAATGGCACATCTTGTTGTGTTTGCTCCGGCGGAAGGACTTCATTGGACTGTAATGAAGACGCCTTAAATCTGCGCACTGCATTTTTAAGAATCTCTGGACTTTCGTGCGTTATTTTTTCGGGGCTGTTCTTTTTTCTAGATGCAATGCTGGAGAGCAACAGCTGACGCAGCTCCTCTGGATCATCGGAGTCATGAGCAACGGTTTCATTCTGAACAGAAGCTGGTAACGACACCTTAGCAACCTTAGTGTCCGCTGCTGGTTTCAGTTTGGACAGCAGCATGGCACGCAACGCGCCTGCCTCGTCGTCGCTGGACTCAGGTTGCAAGGGGCGCGAAGTCTGCGTCTGTGAGTTATCCATAGAAATTGACTGAATGTCGCTGATGGTGTCTTGATGCGAGTGCCGCTCACTCAAGTGCAGCGCGTCCCTGGCGTCGTCATCATCCAGCTGCACGTGTGGAATGTGAAATGAAGGCGGCGGCGGCGGAACCTCGTCATCTTCGTCGTCCAAGACCTCCTCCTCCTTACGCTGATCTTGCTGCAGCTCTTCCTCGTCGTCGTCAATTACAATGGGCATCGAAACAGGCGGCAGTGAGTTGGGCATAAAGCAGCGCCAGCTGCCGCCGCTGTTAACCGTCGACTGCCAGTGATGTGGCCACTGTTGTATTTCCTCGTCACTGTCGGTCTGCGCCAGTTCCATGTCCACGGGCTCCGCGAAACGCGTCGGCTGCGGACTGTACACAGTGCGTTCCGGCGAGGCAGCTGGACTAATCTCCATGAGGTCATCGATATCGTCGCACTCATTGCTGACCGTTGGCTGATGCACCCGGCTTATCATATCTGTCGGAGAATAGGCGCGCTCCGCGTCTCGCTTCTTGCGCGCTATATGCTTTTTTAATATAGCCGATTTAAGGGCAATGAGACGCAGCTTTAGCTCCGGTAGATCTTCAGCCTGCCCCATCTGCTGTTGCTGTTCTTCATCCTCTTCCCTTACGTTGCGGTGCTGACTGTAGCCCTCAAATGAGTGCGGCGGCAGCTGATCCTGCGTTTTAATCTGATTCTCGACTTGATTTCGACTTGGACTGGGTGATTTGCGCATGCGGTACTGAAGTCGCTCCCTAAGACTGTGCTTGGGCTTGATATCGTAGTTGCTATCACGTGCCAGCGCCATGCGCAGCTTGTTACGGCTCAGCTTCAGTTCCTCATCGTTCTCGTTCTCCACATTCAAATCGTACTCGCAGACTTCATCGTCCGTCACACTGTCCAGCGAATCCAGCAAAATGGTAGCCTGCTGATGGTGATGGTGATTGCTGTGGTGCTCGTGACGTCGCTTTTTGCGAGCATGTGCCTGCTGTGCGTGCACGCGGTTCGCGAAGGGATTGCGCCTATACATCGGACCATGTCTTCTGCTTTCAGTTCTTTTCATCCTATGCTTGCGATATTTCTTTGGCGGGTCAAACTCCTCCTCCGACAGGCTGGACACATCCGAAAGTACACTGGTTGGTGAAAAGTACTGATATGGCGCCAATCTCTCTATTCCCTGCGGCCTCTGATAACCTAAAACGATTGCAGAAGGGCTTATCAATAAGTTTACCCATTACGAATTGCGAGCAATGCAAGATAAGAAAGTCGAAATCTTCTCCTTGTGTACATCCGCATATATGTCTGTACATATTATACACTAATAATTCCACTAAAACTCCCATACATACACACACACACACACATACAGAACACTTAACATGCTGTTCGTTAGACAAGGTCACATCACACACACACACACAGCAATAGAACGTGTTGCTTCACTTAGAGTTCAATATTGGACAGTGCTTACTGTATTGATTGGCCAGATTGGCGGAGAGCATGTCCATTTTTTCGATATCCTTGCTCTTGTCCTCCAGCTGCTGTATGCGGGCGCGTAATTTAAACTCCTCATCCTCCGAAGATATGATCATTTCAAACTCATCGACTATTTCGCCCTCCTCGCGGTCTTCCTCGGCGCCATTTCCATTATCGACCATTTCGGGCTCTGGAACTTGCGAGGTCTGCGCGGACTTCATCGCGCTACACCCATTTAATTGTTGATCTGTCGTAAAGCTCTGCATTGTGCAGACGACCATTTTTAAAGGTCTAATAAATGTTTCTTATTTGTGCAAATTCAACACTTTTTATGAAAAAAAAAGAACAAAGTACGTGTGTATGTACTTTCCGTAGTGAAGAAGAAGAGCGAAATGCCAAAACAGAGATGTTATTTAATTCAGCTGTTAGTTAACATTCACTTAACACTTTGTTTACAGAGATAAGATTAAACATCTTGTAAAAATTCTGTTGATAATGTCGTGAATGAAAACATAAGCTTGAAGGCAATATTATAGTTACGCTATGTTGGTAAATTAATTTGCAAGCAACTAACACATTGAATTTAAATGCGTCAGCAGTAATTTTGGTCTGGAGAAATATCGATGGGTACTGCATATCGTTAATGTTTGAACCGATAGTTCCGATAGTATTGCTTAATCAGCAAGCAATGGTGTTAGAAACATCATATCGACTTCTTTTTATTTATAAAATGAATTTTAAATGCACACAGAGATCAATTCTATTTCTAAATAATATTAAACTGGTCGAATTTAAACAAAAAATGTCGGTATTAAATTAATTTAGCTTAGAGCTGTCTCCGTTTGACAGTGTTGCACAAGTAAGAAACGCCCTCTAGATTTCGTAATCTGAACTAAAAATTTCAGTTCAGTGTCGAATTCCGCACTTCCGCTCTTTTCTACCCAACTCGCGGAGCAAAATGCAGCAAAAGGTATTTGTGGTTGTGAAAAATGTGCGAAATGTCCTCAACTAACGACAAAATTGTTGCAATCATTTATTTTTTTAGCGCAGAGAACCCGTGCAGGCCGTTCAAGTCTTCGGACGCAAGGTGTGTGTAAAAATGACAATTTAAAACATTAAATTCATTGCACGTGTGCAAGAATCACCGACCAACAGAAGCCGACGCTCGTCCGCGCGACATTGCTGAGGTTATGTTTGTGTGATGATTTTTGTGTTGCTCACGTTTGCAAAATAAAAAAAATTGAGAAATTAATTAATTGTGGCATTCTGTTGCAGAAAACCGCCACTGCTGTCGCTTACTGCAAGCGTGGCAGCGGCCTCCTCAAGGTGAACGGACGCCCTCTGGACCAGATTGAGCCCAAAGTGCTGCAGTACAAACTGCAGGAGCCACTCCTGTTGCTCGGCAAGGTGAGAGCCCTCAAATGGCACATCTTTTTTGATATGCTTTACAATGATGATAACAATTATCCCGAACTTGAAGACCAATGAGAATACACTTGTCCCTGATTGCTTTAATGGCCAATCGCTAATATCTTTAGTTGCGTGAACAAATCCAAATAATTATAATATTGTCTATCTTGCAGGAGAAGTTCGCCGGTGTTGACATCCGCGTGCGCGTCAGCGGTGGTGGTCATGTCGCCCAGATCTACGCCATCCGCCAGGCAATTTCCAAGGCCCTAGTTGCCTTCTATCAGAAATGTGAGTATTGCGAACTGCTGAACTGGGAATGGGAATGGGAGTAAGATTGTGTGTGCCCTCAATAGGTTTTTGCTTAAAAGAGTTTTGTCTTTCTTGCAAATAATTCAATGAGGGCCAGAGAAACCAACATTATGAGCATATACCAACCAAGCTGGATGCATTTACAAGCACAGATTGGGTGATGCGGCAAAAACATTAGATACACTTAGTTTATGGCAGCTTTTTAGCAGCACCTTCTACCAGATTTTCGCTGGAATCATCTACCATGTCCAGTGAAAGACAAGTGCAAGGGAGAGCAAGTGAATGTGGCAATCAAATCGAGTGATTTGTGCAATTTATGTTGCCATTGCTATTTGAGGCTTCATCGACAATCCAGTAAATGAATCTGTTTTGCATGTATGGTAATGGGAGTAGGAATGTGTATGCCCCCAATAGGTTTTTGCTTAAAAGACTTTTATCTTTCTTGCAAATAATTCAATGAGGGCCAGAGAAACCTCCATTATGAGCATATACCAACCAAGCTGGATGCGTTTACAAGCACAGATTGGGTGATGCGGCAAAAACATTGGATAAAGTTAGTAATTAGCAGCACCTTCTACCAGATTTTCGCTGGAATCATCTACCATGTCCAGTGAAAGACAAGTGCAAGGGAGAACAAGTGAATGTGGCAATCAAAGCGAGTGATTTGTGCAATTTAAGTTGCCATTGCTATTTGAGGCTTCATCGACAATCCAGCAATTGAATCTGTTTTGCATTTATGTTTAAAATCAACCTTCTAATTATTGTTTGCCTTGTATATTTTCATTTCAGACGTCGATGAGGCCTCCAAGAAGGAGATCAAAGACATTCTGGTCCAGTACGACAGAACCCTTCTGGTTGGCGACCCACGTCGCTGCGAGCCCAAGAAGTTCGGTGGTCCCGGTGCCCGTGCTCGTTACCAGAAGTCGTACCGTTAAGCTTTTTGCTGATTTTCAATTTGGATTAGATATTTTGTACAACTTGAAAATATTTGCGCGTTTTCTCTTCAATTCGAGAAGCATGTGAATAAACGGAATAATTAACTTTATGTACCACAAACGAATAGTTATTTGGGATTGAAATAAATAAAACAAGTTCGTAGGGTTGATAAAACAAAATAAGATCAAATCAAGCTGAAGATCAAATAGAATAGTTAGTTAAACCGAAAAGTCAGTTATTTTACGCTTTCATTGAAATTACAGATAAATGTATACTCTGTTAGTAAATTAACATAATTAGTTAAAATTTAAATATCATGGAGTTTTTTTTTGTTTTTAGGCATGTATTAAGTAAAACCAATGACTCGAGAAAAAACAATTTTGATGTTCTGAGTATTCCACATTCTCTGTTTTACGAATTTCATTCGCTTTAGTTCGTAAAATTGATTTTACTCAATCAAGTAATATATTTAATTTTAAAACTGACAAATAGTTCTGTGTCGGGGATTGGCAGCACCGTCAGCTGATCACCTTGCAAACAGTGAATGGCTAATGGAAGAAGAAGCACGCACATCCATTTAAAGAAATAATATTCGCTGTAGAAGAACATAGTTTTGCCGGTTGGCAGTGCTGTCAGCTGATCACCTCGAAAACAGTGAACGGCTAATGGAAGAAGAAGCACTCTCGTACATTTAAAGAAACAATATTCGCGGCAAGTTTCTAGTTTCTTTAATCGAAATCTATTTGCCAGTGCATGTTACCAGCTGAAAAATCAATTTTGTTAATACAAAATGGACAAATGCAACGAATGTAAAATGTCTGCATGTGCATTTTTAACAATAATACAAGATCAAGAAAAATTAATGTCCTGGTTGGGCGACCACGGACTTATTTTGAAATGCAAAATCTGTCCTGGCTGTGGCGAGCCCTGCAAGTGTGTCCCATATAAGGGCGACCTTTATTTTCGGTGCAGGTTGACGCACACTTTTGAAAAAAACAAGAAAAAAATTACAAAAAAATGTAATTTTTTAGAAAGTGTGCGGGCGAACACGTTCTTCGCGGGATCGCATCTAAGTATCAGGAACATTTGCCTTATTGTATATTTCGAACTCATTGGAGTTGAAGCCATTACTGCGTTTTTAAAAAATGAGCTCTCATTGACATACGAAACAATTGTGAATTGGCGTAATTATTTGCGCGAAGTGTTCCAGGATTGGGCTGCGGAGTTAAGTCTTGGAAAGCTTGGCGGAGAGGGCAAGACAGTAAGAATTGACGAAAGCCTTGTAACTAAAAGGAAAAATAATTGCGGACGCATCATTCAAGGCCAATGGATTTTTAGTGTTTACGAAAGGGATACCAAAAGGATATGCATTGTCCCAGCCGAAAACCGCACTAAAAGCACGCTACTTCAGATAATAAAAGAGAAGATCGAGGATGGCTCAACAATCATTTCCGACTGTTGGTCTTCATACCGCTGTCTAGGCGATGAAGAATTCGAGCACCTGGCTGTTAATCATTCCATGAACTTTATGGACCCAATTACAAAAGGGCGCTCCAAAAAACATTCAACGGGTTACCTAGCAACATCCTTTTTTAAATCGCATTATCCCAACCATATAGAGAGATTTCACAATGCTTTTGCAGCCATTGCAAGGCTTTACAATCCCCATTGTGGCAGCCAAAGCATCAATCTAAACTGCAAATATGGCGAGGTATTAAAATTTATTTTCTAGAAAATACTTATTAAACCATTTTTTTTATCTTACAGTATGAAGACGAACTAGAAGATCTCTGTTAAAAATTAGACCATCATTTTGGTAAGTTCCATTGAAATCTCGCATAGCATCTTAATTACATTTTGTTCAATTTGAGTCTTGACGCCAAGTGATATTTTTTTTTAATTTTATCTTTTATATCCCTCCGCATGCTATCAATATTTTGCGTATGCGCTGTTGTTATATGGGCCAAAAACATTTATTACATTAGTTAATTAATAACATTAATAATGTAAATTTTTTTTATTATTTATTAGTTTTGAAATGTATTATATAGCTACATTTAATGGCTTAAATAAATTGCTAAATATTCCATTTAAAGTTACAATTACACTTATATTTAATAATTGAAAACTAAATACTGCGAATGCAAACAGTATTTTTGTATTTTAGTTTCATACCACCGCTAAATCGGCAACTTTTAATTACTTAAATTTAATAAAATACACAATAAAGTTACGTTTCTCCACCGGAAATGGATTCCTGAGAAGAAAAAAACTACGCGTAAATTTAAAAAATTATGTGTTGTGACCAAAACGAAGAATTTCCGCAATATGAACGTTAATCGAAATAAAAGTCAAATATTATCGATAATACGGTAGTAACGACAAATCGTCCATATTATATCGATAGCATTTGTGCGTTTGTCATCTCTAGCGTCGGCATCGCAATTCAGAAAAAACGGCGGCACAAGCGCCTTTTAATTTTGTATGTGAATCAGAGAGTTAGAAAAAAGCCAATTTAGATTGTAGCATATAAAAAATGTATGTAAAAAAGTTGGTGCTTGATGGATTCAAGTCCTATGGAAGGCGCACTGAAATCGAAGGATTCGATCGAGAGTTTACGGCCATCACAGGTCTAAACGGTTCAGGCAAATCAAACATTCTCGACTCGATATGTTTTGTGCTTGGCATCAGTAATTTGCAAAATGTAAGTCAGTTATGGCTATGAATAGTTTATTTATTTATTCAATGTTTCTGTGATTCAGGTGCGTGCGTCTGCGCTGCAGGATTTGGTGTACAAAAACGGTCAGGCCGGCATAACAAAGGCAACGGTCACAATTGTATTCGACAATACGAATGCGCAGCAGTGCCCGCCAGGATACGAAAAGTGTCGCGAGATCTCCGTGACTCGTCAGGTTGTTGTCGGTGGTAAGAACAAGTTCCTCATCAATGGAAAGCTTGTGCAGAACAAGAAAGTTCAGGACTTTTTCTGCTCGATGCAGTTGAACGTCAACAATCCGAATTTTCTAATTATGCAGGGAAAAATTCAGCAAGTGCTAAACATGAAGCCCAAGGAGGTAAGTAAAAATACCATTTAAACATTAATAAGGTACGTTTACACACACCTTTGGTATTTGCAGGTGTTGTCAATGGTTGAGGAAGCGGCCGGCACAAGCTTATACAAGACGAAACGCGATGCGACCAAGACGTTGATTGAAAAGAAGGAGGGCAAGGTGCGGGAAACCTCTGCCTTACTGGAGGAGGAAGTGCTTCCGAAACTGGACAAGCTGCGTAAGGAGCGCACAGCGTACCAGGAGTACCAGAAAACATGTCGCGATATTGAATTCCTCACGCACATCCACATTTCGGCCAGATATCTGAAACTACGTGACGCCCTCCAGTCAGTAGAGGCCAGCGAGCAAAAGATAGAGAACCGCATTGCCAATTGCCGCGAAACTCACGCCAATAACCTGGAGGAAGTTGAGCGTATTGAAGTTACGGTCAAAGAAATACAACATAAGATAGACGCTGAAATGGGAGGCAGTCTTAAGTCCCTCGAGGCCGAACTTGCAGCCAAGCGTGCCGCCGAGGCAACCGCCTCGGGCAGTCTTAAGGCTGCACAGGGCACAATTGAGCAGGATGAAAAGAAAATACGTATGGCCAGTAAAAACATCTTGGACGATGAGCGCGCGCTGCTCAAGAAACAGGAAGCCATGTCAAAGGTTCAGGGCGAGTTCCAGAGCCTTAAAGACGCCGATGCAACGGACGCTAAAGCCTATGAGGATGCACAGCGGAAATTTGAGGCCGTATCGCAGGGTCTGTCTACCAACGAGGATGGACAAGCCTGTACACTGCAGGAACAGCTAATCGGTAAGTTGCCAAGCAACCCAGTTTGGTAAGTTAGTTGGTTAATTTTGGACTTTACCCATAGCTGCCAAGCAACAACTGAGCGAGGCACAGACCACAATTAAAACATCGGAGATGGAACTGCGCCACACGCGCAGCTTGCTTAATCAAAAGCAGGGCGAGACGCAGACCAACGATGCAGCCTACATCAAGGACAAGCGACTGCACGACCAGCTTGAGGCTGAAATCAAGAACTTGGAGCGTCAGTTGCAGGGCCTCAACTACGAGGGCGGACAGTTCGAACAGCTCAAGGAACGCAGGCAACAATTGCACAACCAGGTGCGCGAACATAAGCGCGAACTTGACCGTCGCAGCGGGTCCCGCTTCGAGCTTCAGTACCATGATCCGGAGCCGAATTTTGAGCGGCACAAGGTGCGCGGAATGGTGGGAAAGCTGTTTAAGGTCTCTGATATGCAAAACTCCATGGCCCTCATGATGGCAGCTGGCGGTCACGTAAGTGCCCAATCACACATTTTTCAAAAGTTGGCTCATTTCTTTTATGCTAACCCATATTTGCAGTTGTATAGCTTTGTAACGGACGATGATGTGACAAGCAAGAAGATCCTTCAGAAAGGAAATTTGCAGCGACGTGTCACAATGATACCTATCAACAAGATCAAGTCCTACCCTCTGAGCCAAAAAGTTGTCGACTACGCCAAGTCAACCGTAAGTTCATCTTAAGAAAACTGATTGCGTTAGATAGCCAGCCTTACATATCGTACTTTTGTCTATGTATTGCTGTTTTAGTGGACTGTTTTGTTAATTAATTTAGTACACATTTTAACTAATCATGCAATTTGCTTGCAGTACGGCGCAGACAATGTGGAATCTGCCTTGTCGCTGATTGAATTCGACCGATACTTCGACCCGGTGATGAAGTTTGTCTTTGGCGGAACACTGATCTGCAAAGATTTGGATGTTGCCAAGGGGGTAAGCGCAATGTTATGCCACAATGTGGACATTAACTGATTATTCTTCCTTCCAATAGCTAAGCGCAGATAGAAACATTGGAGGTCGCTGTGTAACGCTAGAAGGCGATGTGGTAGATTCAAATGGTACCTTGTCTGGTGGCTCAGCACCGAAAGGCGCGAATATACTTGAAGAACTGAACTGCATTAGGAGTTTGGAGAAGGAAGTAAAACAAAAGATGAATGAGCTAACCCAGGTGGAGCAAGAATTGACGTTAGTATTGGGTGTTCATAGAAAATTAATCGAAGATTATTAAGTCATCTTTTGTTTCTCCCATTTATAGTGCTATTGAGAATGTAGCGCACAGCCACAATAAGCTAAAGGAGGCACTTGACCTGCGCCAGCATGAGCTGTCCATGTGCAAGAGCCGTTTGGCGCATACAACATTCCAGCAGAACCAGGAGGAAATCGAAGAAATGAAGGAGAAGGTGAAAAGCTTAGAGCAGCAAAATGCAGAGGCGCGTGAAAAACAAAAGAGCTCACAGGCCAAAGTAAAGGATGTAGAGGCAAAGTTATCCGATGCGAAGGGCTATCGAGAGCGCGAGCTTAAGGCGGTCAGCAACGAAATGAAGGTAGCCAAGCAGAGAGCCGAGAAGTCACGCGCTAACTGGAAAAAGCGTGAGCAGGAGTTTGAGACGCTGCAGCTGGAAATCACAGAGCTACAGAAGAGCATTGACACCGCCAAGCAACAGCACCAAGAGATGGTGGACAATCTTGAAAGGTACAAGGCTGAGCTCGATGCTCTGCAGAAAAATAGCTCGACTGCGGCCACGGATGTCGCCGAGCTAGAGAGAGAAATTAAAAGGCAAAAGGATAATCTGAACACTAAGAATAAGGAAATGCGTACGCTTTTAGGCAAAAAGGATAAAATGCTAAAACACAATCAAGAACTTGAACTGGAGGTGAAGAAGAAGGAAAACGAAAAGAACAAAATAAGTGGAGAGGCAAAAGATGCTAAGAAACGCATGGATGCCCTGGAGGTTAAGTACCCCTGGATACCAGAGGAGAAAAACTGCTTTGGCATGAAGAACACGCGCTATGACTACAGCAAAGAGGATCCCGTTGAGGCCGGCAACAAATTGGTGAAAATGCAGGAAAAGAAGGAGAAAATGGAACGCACGCTCAATATGAATGCAATGCAGACACTGGAACGCGAGGAGGAGAACTATAATGAGACGGTGCGCCGACGTCAAATTGTTGCATTGGACAAGGAGAAAATCAAGAAGATTATTGTTAAAATGGACGAGGAGGAGCAGGACCAGGTAAAACGGGCCTGGGAGGCGGTAACTGAAAACTTTAGCAGTATATTCAGCACCCTGCTGCCAGGCGCCCAAGCTCTACTCAATCCTGTCAAGACAAACGGCGTACTTAGTGGCCTCGAGATAAAGGTCGGCTTCAACGGTGTCTTTAAGGAAAGCCTGGGGGAGTTGTCTGGTGGTCAAAAGTCACTGGTAGCTTTATCACTAGTGCTAGCCATGCTGAAGTTCTCCCCGGCTCCGCTCTATATCCTCGACGAGGTGGATGCTGCGTTGGATATGTCTCACACTCAAAATATTGGCAGCATGCTGAAGCAGCACTTCAGAGACTCACAGTTTCTCATCGTCTCCCTGAAAGATGGCCTCTTCAATCACGCCAATGTGCTGTTCCGTACGCAATTCTTGGAAGGCGTCTCCACCATTACGCGAACTGTTGGCCGATCAGTTGCGAAGCGTTAAATATGTCCACATAGTTATTAGCCTTTACGAATAAAATCATCTACGCAAACATTTAAGGTTACGAACTATTTTATTGTGAACAGTTTTTTCGCACAAAATGGCGATTTAAGTTTTACCCATGTTCTCTAATTAGAGGAAAAGAATTTAAAAATTGATGTTTCGTCATTTGTATAAAATAAATGTAATTATAGTAATTTTTTACTGGGAGTTTTTATTGAAACTTAAAAAAGTGGTGGTACAGGAATTAAGAAATTAAATATTTCTGAATTAAATTGCTGATATTATATATTTTTGCTTAATACATTTTTAATTGTAATGTGTTTTATAATTTTAAATTATAAAACAAGATTTTGTATATCGGTCATGCTGGCAGTTATTTTGTTTTCTAAATTCACAATAGACAAGTTTTTGTTCACTTCATAAATTTGTTGCATCAAATATCTTAATTTTAAATTTTTGCATTGCATTTTCATTATTTATTGGATTTCTTAATACAAATATTGCGTACAGGGTAAGAAAGATTTTTTGTTGTAATTTTTAGCATTTGTCTACATTTGCGATATATTTAATGTTAGGTTATGGGAGACTGTGTCCATTTTTAAGCTGATCTTAACAGAGTAGTTATGTTATGTAGCTTAACAGAGAAACAGTAAATTTCCAATAGGGCTGGTTGGCTGGCCCAAACGTCAAACTGACGTTTGGTCACAGCGACAAAGAGAACGACACTGACAGTCGCTGGCTGTAGGTTGCATGCGCACTGGAGAGACAGAGACAGAACGTTGGTGAGACCGTCGACGAGACGAACGCACCGCGCAAACCCACACAGGCACACACACAGATAGCAACAACACGCACACACACTCAGGCAAGCGAGCAGAGCAGCGACTACGACAATGTTGGAGGAGTGCAGCTGTGAAAAATTAAACAAAAGTGCTAAATTTGATTATTAAATTCTCAGCGGCAGCGGAAACAAAACATTCAACATTTCCACCCAACGCAGATTCCTGAAAAAGCTCGTCAACATGGTAAGAAGGCACCGAGCGGTGCTTGCCTTGGATTCACAATCAAAATCTCAATCAAATCGCTTGTCTGTGCACAGTATCCAGTGTTTGTGTGCGTGTGTGTCAGTGTGTGTGTGTGTGTGTCTATGGTACAAAATTCTATAAATTGTATATGCTGCCGTCTAGCGCCCGACAAGACAGGTGGGGGGTCACCGTCGGGACCCTCGTAACGATTCCCTTGCTTAGTCTTTTTATTTTTTATTTGTTTAATATCAGTTATTCTAGGGAACAAGCACAATTGATTATTGCCAGTTACCAGTTTTAATTTGGTCGTGTTCCCACCATGACAAAATCCCAGTGCCGGCTCCAATGACCTTATCTCGGCCAAGCTGAGGGCTTCACCAACCAGGAACTGCAACAGGGGTTTGGCCTTGCTTAACAAATGCAATTTATTGTTTATGTAATTTAAGCTTTAATAATGTACAATAGCTTGTCTTGATTACTAGAGCAGTATTTGCATATTATTTCAAATTACTTTTGATCAAGAATTGCATTTTGGAACTTGTCGTTACTTCTGTCAATTGCCAGAGTTGCCATATAGCACTTAATAACAACCGTTCTTTTGCTATAATATAAATGTTCCTATAAAATATATCACAATATCTGGAGTAATTGATCAATGGAGTGCAATATATGTGTTCACCTTTTAATATATTTCGTTCCAAATCTCAAGAGGGTCTATATATTTTTCTTTAAGGATCGAGTCACAAAACCGCAGAAGAAAATGCTAATCACATTGCTGCGCGAGACGAAATACATGGAAGGCAAGAAAGAAAAGGAATGGTATTGGGAGAAGATCCAGGCGGCGCTAAACACTATCGGGCCCAAAAAGACCATCATTCAGTGGAAAAAGGTGCGTATCTCTGTGAAGAAAAGCGAGATCGTTTCACTAGTTAAATCTCTTTCAGTGCTGGCGCGACATGCGCTTGACGACGAGAAAGAAACTGGCCGAGCTGAAGCGCTGCCAACTGTCTGGCGGGTCGCCACCACCGGGCATTGAGTTGAACCAGGAGGATAACGATATCATTGACATTGTGGGCACTGAGTACTTTTACGAGGAAATGAACGGCGAGCTTAAGCCGGAAAACTTTATGACCGGCTTCGACTACGTACCGGAGCACTTTTGCGATGCCATACTGACGGCTGCTGCGGGCCAGCAGCAACAGCACATGCAACACCCAAAGGACCCACAGTCGCACAGTGGCCAGCAGCCGCAGGATCATCATACCAATGATGGGGAGACTAACGATGCGCCGGGCTCCTCGAACGGTGGCTCGTACCAGGGTCAGAACGTGAGTCAGCTGCAGTCGCACAACGGTGGCGGCGGAGAACATGGTAATGGCAATAGCACGCAGCCGCATCCCGGCATGCCGCAGCATCCCGCCTTTCATGGGGGCTTGCATCCGCATTTGCTACGACGCCAACACACAAGCGCCGCTCTGCAGCGGGAGACGCCGTTCGAGGAGAAGCTATTGCAGTTCATGCAGGATGCGTTTCCTAAAAAGAGCAAAAAGCGCAAGCAGCGTGATCCGGACAAGCTTTTTCTGCTATCGCTCTATGAGGAGATCAAACGGGTGCCGGAGGAAATACGCCTGGACGTGAAGTCTGAGCTGATGCAGATCTTAAAGAAATACCAGAAGAAGTCACCAGTTAAGGCGGAGAAATCGTCAGCTTCGACGTCCTCGGCCGCCAAACAGAGCAGCAACAGCAGCAGCAGCTCCGCCTCGGCTCATCTCTCACATAGCATGTTTCAGCTTCAGAAGAAATATGAGAAGGGCGAAAAGGAACCGTCGCCGCAGTCGCAGGGAGATCCGGTGCCACTGCATGCGCCGCAGCAGCTACCACTGTTCCAGCTTCACAAAAAGTACGAAGAGACCGAGAAGGTGCATCAGCAGCAAAGCGAACAGCGCAAGCTTGAGGCTGCCCACCAGCAGCAGCACGCCGCCCATCAGCAGCCGCCACCGCCGCCCAATGAGCAGCATTTGCATCATCCGCAGATGGCGCACAATATAATGTTTCCGCTGGCGCAGCTGCGCAACGAGCAACCGCCGGGGCAGCATCATTCTCACAATCCACACCAGCAGCAACAGCAGCATCCCCACCAGCAACAGCAGCAGCCCCAGCAGCATCACCCGCCAACGATCTTTGGCACCGCTGCTAGTGCAGCCGCCATGAGCGCTGACCGCCCACCGATGTCGTACGAGAACGTTGGGTGAATGTTGAGCCGTCTGTGGGAAGCCACTTGTGGAGCGCGCCCTTCGACGGTGTCCCCCACGACGGCAGACGCGCCCAACTGTTAGCAACAAGCAACTAGCAACTGTTAGCCATCCGGCCCAGCTCATTGTGCCGGTTCAGCTCGACGACAGGGTCTGGTCAGGGTGTCTCTCTCGCCACTAAATGCCGGAACTGTGTGCAAAATTGTTTCAAACACTAGGTTTTACTCGTACTTCTAATCCTTACGCTAGCTTACTGTGTAACCATGAAATGATCTTCATGTAAATGCCATTGGGGTCGATCCCAATGGCTTATCATCAATAATTGTGTATATACTTGAAAATATATACACACATATTAGAATTACATATTGAAATTGTGACTTTATTTTCAATTACAACAAATGAATTTAATATATGTATACAAAATGCGAATTCACCAACTTAAATTGTGTTCTAACCAATTAATTTTAATTACTAATATAGGATTAGTTAATTACTGGTCGAGGGCTGATTTATACATTGCTATTACCCTGTAGGTTATCATATTATAAAACTGAGACTGACTTATTGGTGATTAACGCACAACCCAACCCGTTAGAGCTAGGTAGCTGCATTTTTCACATCTATTAAGTTTTTCAATCTCCCCAAGCTTATTTTTAAAGCTCGTCATATAAATAAGTAATTGCCAATCTCAACGATTGTAAGCAAGCAGTATTGGGAATGTTCGGAAAATTCTTTTGTTTTTCATCCCGTTTGCTTCCAGCGCATTTTCAAAGATTTCTGTGAACATTCATTAGAGAACTACTATGACGAATTGTATTTGATATATTTTAGAGTATATAAATGATATATTTTAGAGTATATAAGCTTTTAATCTGTTATCATTTAGGATAATTCAATTGGATGAGAAAATGTTTCCAAGTATTATCGCAACGCTCAGTTGTTTTCAAGATCAAATTATAAGATCTTATAATAAGTATATACATTTAATTAGGAAATTAACAAAATCCAGAAAGACAAACGAATTATTTTTAGGCATACGTAATCCGAGACGTATCTATGCCCTAAGTTAGAAAGAAAGAGTTCTCTCTCTCTCTATAATGTTTCTTTCTAAATGTTTCTATTTTATTTAGCCTGTATTTGTTGCAGTTATACTCTGTTCTTCTGGTCCTCGTTTTTTGTTTACACTTCTTCGGATTGAAAGTACTTCAAAAATACAAACTGATTGTTGACTTACCATCGAACCACACACAACTTCTGTCTGGATGCGTCTTAAGATAATATTGTTTGGATATGTGAATAAGCCGAGCTATAAAAGATTTGTCAAAAAGACACCCAAAGTGGTTAGTCCGAGAATTTATCTGCGCTCTCCGGCACACGAGCGCACGATATGGCATCGCATCGCGTATCTCTGGCTCATATAATAAACGAGATTACGATCGTGATTAGCAGAGCTCGGAGCTGTGGCATACGGCGGCGAGATGTGCACTTATCAGTTGCGTGGAATGTGCGGATGGATGTGCGGGTGGCTGTCTCTTCGAGTTACCTGTGAGGCGACAACTGTTGGCAGTTGGCAGTCTAGTCCGATCGCGGGCCACAGTGAGAGTGAACGTGAGGACACCTTGGCGAACGGACGGATCTCGCAAGGACCTCGAAAGTTATTTTCTGTTGAGTAAATTTGATCAATAAATCTGACAAAATGGCAGGTAAGATACAATTTAAAGCCAAGCGCTTAATGTTGAAGTGTAAATGTTGCCTCGATCAAGTTCAGCGTTTAACCAAAGTTTTGGGATCTGGTTCAAGATCCAACAGCTATAACCACAAATTGCCTTCGCTCTGCCGATTGCAAATGCAGTTCGGTTCACATTACATGTGTTGTCGCAACAACTTGCGGCAGTATAAAGCATAAAGCTATGTCAATGGGCTAATCTGGGCTAATATGAAAGGCGCCTCTTTGTCCGCATCCCAATTGATAATTGATAAGCTTCTTGATCACTTTCAGTCGAGGCGCGCACTGTGCTCTGGTATATGACTTTCATAGGATTCATTGTCAACTATATGCTGCGAATCAATCTGAACATCACCATTGTGGACATGATTGCCGGCGTCGATGGACCACCCGCTGCACTCACCTCCAACCTGACCAATTCCACAAGCAACTCGGACCTGGCTTCCGCCTCACTTGTCGAATCCATTCAGAACGACAGCGCACGCACTCAGCGTTATTCGTGGGAGCGTCAGTTTCTCGATTGGGCAAATGTGAGTACGAGCCGAGCAGCTGCGGGTGAATGTGGCTGGGTGCATGATGCATAAGTGACTCATGCGGCACATGCATGATTTATTTCGGGAATTGATATGATTAACTTAGTTACGCTATTATATAATTCCAAATTGCACATTTAACGCAAAAGAACGGCTATCTGCGGCACGTTGATGCATTGATACCCTTTTATATATTGGAGAATCTTAGAGCACGTAATTGCTTAGTTTGGACAAGTTATCCTGAAAACAGAGAATTTAATTGATTTGTCATGTTATTTAAATTTAAATTTAACAATCAGCTATATGATAAATTGAGCTGAATCGTCCAGCTCTGACAAATGCAGTTCCATGACGTTAGCTTTAAAACTAGAAGATTAGTCTGCTAAGAATCAGACATGGCTATATCCTCTCGACTTTATGGGCACATAAAGCTTTCTCCTCTTGAAAGCTACACACTCGTGACAAAATATAATTCCATCTACGAAAGTTTTAAAAGAGTTCTTAATTTATCTTCTGATAGATTGAATACGAAAGGGATGGATTCCACTGGAACGAAAGAGAACAGAGCAACCTGCTGGGCTCGTTCTTCTGGGTGCATTGGGTTCTACAACTGCCCGGCGGCATTTTGGCACGTAAATATGGAACGAAGCTGGTTTTTGGACTGTCAAATGGTATTGGGGTATTCCTGTGCTTTCTGATACCGATTGTGTCCTACTGGAGTTATGGCGCACTACTTTGGCTGCGAGTGTTCCAGGGATTCGTAACTGTGAGTATTGATAAGAACAGGGAAATATATAAAAAATATTATATATAAACAAAAGAATTTGAACCAAATGGTTCCAATAATAAATAATAAAAAATAAATAATAAATAATAAATAATAAAAAATAAATAATAAATATTGAATAATAAAGAATAAATAATAAATAATAAAAAATAAATAATAAATAATAAAGAATAAATAATAAATAATAAAGATAATAAAGAGATAAATAATAAAGAATGAAGAATAAATAATACAAAATAAATAATAAATAATAAAGAATAAATAATAAATAATAGTTGTAGTTGTATTTATATTAAATTTATCGAATTTTAAGAGCTGCATCGAACACTGCTATTTAAGATTAACTCAACTTATTTGTGATTCACTTTTCCAGGGTTTGGCTTGGCCCTCGATGCATGTGATGACCGCCAAATGGATTCCGCCAAATGAGCGCAGCAAATTCGTGAGCGCCTATCTGGGCAGCTCTGTGGGCGTGGCGCTCTTCTATCCGATATTTGGCTATATCATCGCTTGGACCTCCTGGGAATGGGTCTACTATATTTGCGGCGTTTTCGGAATGCTGTGGTTCGTAGCATGGCAGTTCCTGGTCTATGACAGTCCCGCCCAGCATCCGCGAATCGAGCAGTCCGAGCAGCGTTACATTGAGAAGTCGCTGGGTGCATCGGTGCAGAGCAGCTCGCCGGGACCGACGCCCTGGCGGGAGATTGCCACCTCGAGACCGGTCTGGATGAATGTGGTGGCACAATGGGGCGGCATCTGGGGTCTGTTCACACTGATGACACACGGACCGACCTATTTCCGGCTGATCCATCACTGGAACATACGCGCAGTAGGCAACCTTCTGCAAAATTGGCATTTCACTTTCGGTAATCCATTTTATGACGCTTCTTTTGCAGACCGGCTTCCTGTCGGGAATGCCACATCTGATGCGCATGATCTTTGCCTACGTATTCTCCATGTTTGCCGACTACTTGCTGCGCACGGATCGTCTCAGCCGCACCAATGTCCGCAAGCTGGCAACAGGAGTTTGTGAGTAGTTGGAGCTATTATTTTGTGGCTTAAGCTGAAGGTTTCTATTGCTCGCAGGCTGTGGCGTGAAGGGTGTCGTGGTGCTGGCGCTGGCCTACTTTGGCTATAATGCAACAGCTGCCATTGTCCTGGTGGCCGTGGCCACAATGTTTCACGGCGCGGTCTCCTCCGGCCCGCTTGCCTCGATGGTGGATTTGTCACCCAACTACGCGGGCATAGTGCTCGGCGTCAGTGGCATGATCGGCGGCATGCCGGGCTTCATTTCGCCATTCATAGTGGGAATATTAACCCAGGGCAATGTAAGTGACGCCTCCTCATTAGGCTGTCCATCAGGCACACATTTAAATCCTTCTGTTCTGTCTGTTGCAGCAAACAATTGAGGCCTGGAAGAACGTGTTCATGCTCACGGCGGCTATGCTGATTGGCAGCGGCATCGTGTACGTCCTGTTCTCGGAGTCCACGCTGCAGCCCTGGAACAGTGGCTGCCATGCGCTGCCCGATGCCGGGCTCAAGGAGCTGCAGACGTTCGAGGAGAAGCTGCCCTTGCAGGCCAGTGCAGAAGACGATCCCAATGCGAAGGCCGCGCTCGCAGTCAAGACCAGCGAGGCGTCTGATAAATGATAAGCGCGCTGCGTGTCACTTTTATTGCCATAAGTCCATTTTAGTTATAGCCCCCTATTGTGTGCCCAATTGTGTGAGAAACGGCCAAAGGCAAAGCAAAGTTATCAGAACTCATTTCTATTTGCACACATATTTTGACGGCTAGTGCTAAATTTAAATTAAATTTAAGTAATACACATACACATATGTCTGCTGTCTGCAGCACTCCATAAATTTATTCGCAAACAGGCTCACGATCATTCCATAAACCTGCGAGTGTTTTGTTAAATAAAATGTGGGAACTAAATATACACAAAAGGCTTTAACCGCAACATATTTTATTATCACATATAAAGACCCGTGCACGCAATGTTGGGGAAGCTGCGAATTTGTTTTGCGAATTCGTATACTTGACATCATAAGTGCAAAGATAAGCTAAAGTAAATATTTTGATGTGGCTCCTCAAGCAGATAAACGACCCTACTTATCATATATACGTTGAATTGTGCGAATTGACAAGTGAGAAACAAAAATGATTTAATTGCCAAAAGAAATTTTATTTTGTAATAGTAAAGATTTAGTGAGTAGTAGGCCTTAACAGTAAGCGGGCTCTAGTGGGAAGTAACCCGATACCCTGATACCCGGAATCCTGAGCCGAATCCTGAGCCGAGTTACCTTACAAACATTTGGGCTTCGTATATTCGTATACTTGACATCATAAGTGTGCATAAACCTTACTAAGTATATATATTTTTTACTTTGAATTGTGTCAATCGACAGTGAGAAACAAGAATGATTTAATTGCCAAAAGAAATTTTATTTTGTAATAATACAGACTTAATAAGTTATAGGCTATAGAGAAAGTTTACAAATAAGTTAATAAAACTGTAAGAGGGCTCTAGTAGGAAGTGACAGAAGGAGACATCTCTTACCCCAAAAATTATATATATTCTTGTGTGTTTCTATGCAAAGCAGTCTCTCAGTTTTAAATTTATCCTCTTGAAACATTGAAACATTAGGTCCGTCTTTATTTTGCAGGCAGTACCGAAGGAGGAACCAGCCGGATCGGAGTACTTGGCTTTTACGAGCTTTACTAATACAAGGGTATCAAATATTTGGTGTGCTGAAGGTAGTCATACTTTATAGTTTTTGAGTTAACTTTAGAAAATATAAACATGTTAAGAAATTTAATTCTTTTGTCTAAGAAATTCTTTCAAATATTTAGATTATAGAAAAGTATTTTAAAATAAATTAACATTTTAATTAAGTATAGCTATTCTTTTGAAAGATATAAATTTTTTTTCCAAAACAAATAACTTTTTGGTATTAACATAAATTGAGGACTAACTTAATTGAAACTGTGGATGCGGATGCATAGCCGCGGGATAAACATTTTTCAACATTATCTATTTGATCCGCACATAAAACTGTTTGGCTAGACTTATTGACTTAAATTTCAATAATAATAGTTCTCACAATTGCAATCTATTCGCTGTTGAAAAAGTTAACATAGGAACTATATTTCAAGTATGTTGATTTACATTCTATTTAAAAATATTTAAAGTTTATTACACAAATTCAGATATTTTACCAAAGACAATATAAACACAAGCTTGTCCCTTTTATTCGATGTTAGGCACAATAATTTATTGGTTGATTGCATAAGTCTGAGCTGAACAGATTCAAGAGGTGCATGCGTCCGTCTGAAGACCCCAATGAACTCCAGTTAATAATTGTAATTTAAATCAAAGCTGATTGAAGCGTAAAATCGTTTTTGCCCTTACACGATGCACAGACGCATTCGCATTACGATACTCAGCTGGCCGCTCTCATTACTCATACCACAAGGTGTACAATTGGATGCGGATGCCAGGGCCTGGCCGACGGTGCGGAGAGTCGTCCTTTTGACATTGGCAGTTGGCAGTTGGCAGTTGGCAGTTGTTTGGTGATTCGAAGTCATCTTGGTTTTTTCTCGCATTCATTTCATTGGCGTCCATTTCGGATTGCACTCCAGGGAGTCGTAGATGCCACTGCGCCCAGTCAGTGGGCCACTTCACGCACTGCCCTTTACGGCGCCTCATCCAGTTTTGGGCACTCGCCTAATCCAGTCAATGTCTTGTCACTTGATCCGCCAGCCCGGGCAGCTAAGTCAAAAAACTGATAGAGATTAATTGGTTTCCCGTTACACGATTCGTTTCCAGCATTCATAATGGGCTGCAAAACGAAGGTGCCATCAGCCGACAGACGAATGCCGGCTCCAATAATGCGATTATTTCACATCATCAAGCGGCTCGCTTAGAGGGCGAAATCCGAACTGGAAATTGAAAAAAAAACACAGGGTTCCAGTTTTTCAACTGTAACTGTGCATGTAACTGTGAATGTAACTGTGAATGTAACTGTGCATGTAACTGTAGCTACCACTCTCATAATCTGATCGTCTTTAAATTTCCATTCCGTTATTTATTCATATAGGAAATTATCGCTTATTTAATCGCATATTCGAATGCCAGCGAGCTCTCGCCAATCCTCATTGAATGTGAAGTGTGCTTAGCGTATTTCCTCCCCCTCTCGCCATTTTGCATTGTACTTACTCGCATTTCCGTTGCCATTTCGTTTATCAGCCGACGTGTTTTCCAAGCCAATTCTTAAGAGACACCGTTGTTCCCCTTACCGTTGCCGTTGCCGTTACCGTTGCTGTAAACAACGGTTATCTGCAGGGCCTTCAAACAAAGAGCCAAACAAAGAGCCCGCTAAACCGCTAAGCGCGACTTCAGAAGAGCCTGACAACAACAATAACAAGCGACTACATTAAACAAAAAAAATAACATAAACAAAAAAAAAAGGAAAACAAAAAAATTTTGCGTTCGTATAATAAATGTAGCACGGATTTGCGAAATTCCGCTGGAGCCAAAGTCGGGGACTGAACTGAGAAAAAAAAAATTCCCTGGCAGGCAGGAAGTAAATTCAATCGTAAACAACGCAATCAAAAATTCATTCAAACGAAGCATTAACGCTTATTCCGTTTAGCCAGCCCCCCTGAAGTCGCTGCTGGTGTGGGAGGGTGTGGGAAGGGTGTATGGGGGTGTAAGGGGGTGTGGCCCGGGATTGGGCTCGTTTGTCTCGCGCTGTCTCATTGTCAAAATGCAACAGGGCGGGTGCTCGAAAAGCCAAAAAGCGTGCAGTTGCCAGGGCGGGGTTTATACCCTTACCAACTTGACACAAGCAAACGGGTATATAAAACTAAATAAATCAAAATATTAAAAAATAATTTAGGCATTTGTTTTGTTTAAAAGAATATTCTTTTAAGGTATAAAAATATTAATTAAATAACATAGGCTTTTGTTTTGTTATATTCCTTATTGGTATAAAAATATTAATCAAATTATTAAGGTTTTTGTTCTGATTAATAAAAAATTTTTTTAATGTTTACAAATATTAATAAAATTAATTTATGCTTTTGTTGTGTTTAAAAGAATATACTTTTAATGTTTAAAAATATTAATAAAATAATTTAGTTTTGTATAAAATAAGGTTTACAAAGTATTCTTTTAATATTTCAAAATATTGATAAAATAATTTAGTCATTTGTTTTGTTTAAAAGAGTATTCTTTTTAAGGTGCTGGATTTCTGTTTTGTTATTAGTTCAAAATTTTAGGTCCGGGTATCTTAGAGTCGGTAAGCCCTAAAATATTTTGCATGCATATATTTTTTTTAATTTTCAATGTTTTTTTTTGCGCCACTTAGGCAGGTACATTTGTTATGTGGGCACGAGCGACTCGCGAGTATTTTTTTGTAGTTCCGGGCACGTCGGTTCATAATTTTCCATTTCCATTCAAAGGCCACGTTAAATGAAACCACGCAGAGCCGCGAATAAATTGTGCACTGTGCGCCCCGCGAGTACGGATGAATATGTGCGAGGATGCGTGGGGCTGGGCGCTCAGGATTGTTTGTACTGCATACCTGTTTGCATGGGAAATTCAGGGGCACGTGTGCACACTCACATGTGCGTGTGTGTGTGTGTGTGTGTGTGGATAACGGGACCGGCGGCATTCTGTAACAATGCTCGTGGCGTATAAGTATCTGTGGCAATAAATTTAATTTGCCCAGCAAAAACATCGCAAATCCATTTTTTATGCCATAAATTCCTTAGTTCCCATGTGCATTGGGCTTGCAACGGGATTAATGGATGTGCGAACATGCATATAAAGTCGAAGGTAGGCAAAAAAGGGAAAGGTATACCCGAATACCTGTTTAAAAGTCTCCACTTTGGAGATCATTTTAGACTTGTTCAAATAGAAAATGATTTTTAAGCGAGTCTGAAAATTTACTCGTCTATTAAAAAGGTCAAACCAAGTATTAACATTTTTGAGCTATACTCCATTAGGTGGTGAAAAAATATCTAACTTATATAGTGCTACGGCCTCCATAGGTAGACCACTTCTACCCTTCTCCAAGCCCCGATGCCACGCCCATCACTTTCTACAAATCTTAAAAGTCGGGGATTTCACCAATTACAGTTGGAGAGTCACTGTTTTGGTCACTGTTTGGTAACAGTCTTAGAGTCAGCAACAAAAAAATCAAGAAAACTATTTTTGGTTGATTTGAACATAAACATTCTCTTTTATTAAATAAAACAACTATAGTTAAGATATAATAATTAAATAGTTGTAGATATCAGTTACAAGTTCACAAATCAGAATGTTTTAGTTTCGCATGTGTCATTCAGTTATTGAAAGACCATATAGAGAACTAGCGGGTATAACCCGGCCTTGCCCGTGGCACGTATGTTATAAAATCAAAAAAGCTTTGAAAATGATTTTAAAACTGATCGGACGGGAATCAAACAACTTTTATGCAAATCGGAAAACTCTTAAAATTCACCAAAAAAATCTTAAAAATGCATTTTCCACCGAAGGAGTTTAGATTTTGCGAGAAATGTGAAACACTTCTCTAATGATTTTTCTTATAGATCTTTGGAAATAAGTTTGAACACAAAACGTCATCCACCAAATCTTCGACCCCCATTTGCACCAAGGAGGGATGGATTTTTCAAAAAGTGTGAAACACCCCTCAAATGAATTTGAATATATGTAGATCTTTGAAAATTAGTTTGGGGCCGATCGGATGGTAAACAAAAAACTTTCATACAACCGTTTTCCGCCAATTTACCACTCTTGCGGGTGGAATTTCGCAAATCGCTGAAATAAGTATTTATTAAGTTCTTATGTAGAGCTTTAAAAATAAGTTTGAAGCAAATCGGACACAACTTAAAACGCCGCCCAAAAAATCTTTAAATCGCATTCCCCCCGAAGAAGTTT